CACACACAATCAATCAAACCCTTTTTTTCAAGTTTTTTGTTTATTTATTTTCAAATTTTGTATCTTTATTTTTCTAAAACACCTCATACCCCTGCAAAAAACAGACATTCATTTTTAAAAAATACAGGTGAACTCAGGGACCATATATCTGATGATAAAAAATGAAAAAAAAAAAAAATCAACTTCTTTTTATATTTTTCTTTTTAATTTTCTTTAAATCGAATTTAGTTTTTGATTTTTAAAAAATCCTAAACAAAGTCGGACTCCAAAAAAAAACAATGGGGTTGTAGGGCTTAAAATTCCCTACAACCCCATATATATATATATATATATATATATATATATTTTTTGCCTATTATTTAATTTAGGAAAAATCTGGTAAAATCGGGTCCGCGGCGTGGACCCGGTAGGCTGCGGAGGCGGTCGTGAATACGTCCGCCCTCCGAGCTCGGCCCCGCGGACGCGTCCGCAGGTGTTTCATAGGTGTTGTGCATCCGATGCTCAGGATCTAGAAAGGCTGCAGCGCAATGTAGCTCGCTTGTCAAAAATGCCCAGCCCCGCATGAGGATGCGCTCCAAGCCTCGTGCTCCCCCCTCTTACAAGCATTCCAGGGCACGCAGGTCCTGCACAACCCGATCCATCTTGAAGTAAGCCTTTGAGATGGTTGTTCCTTGCCCATCCACCAAACGGAGCAGCTCCACCACTGGCTGCATCACATGAAGTGCCTTTTGCACATTGCTCCAAACGTCGCCCTTGTCGAGGACGATGGTTGTTACCTCATGCATTGCCAGTAACTGGTCACTCCTCATCATCTTGTCCACCCATCCCGCGTCGCACACACAACGATCAAGAGCATTCCACAATTCCTTCAGCGACTGCAGCATCTCGAAGTTGGTTGCGAATCTGGTTGGTGCTGGCCGCTTCAGCTTTGTCTTCGGGGAGTAATGGTGGAACAAGGCCCTTGCCTTGTCCACATTCGAGAAGAAACGGCCGACCTTGTTGCCGGCGTCGACAACCTGCGTCATCCAAGGCATTTCCTTGTACATGTCCTCCATCGCCAGGTCCAGCGCATGTGCCGTACAACCAAGGCTTAAGATGGTCGGATAGGCGGCCTCCACCATCTTCCCTGCCTTCACGCACACCCTCGCGTTGTCCATGACAACGCCAACGATCCCATCCACCCCGATTTCCTTAATCACCTCGTCCAACACTCGAAAATACGCTGCAGAATCCTTCTCCTTGCCCTCCATGCAGACGGACTTCCAAAACACAGTACCGACGGGTGAGGACACCATCACATTCAAATGCGGTTTGTTGTGGCAGTCCGACCACCCGTCCATATGCATCATACACCTTGTCTTCTTCCATTTCACTATCATCGCACGGACCTCCGCCCCTACCCGTGCATACTCTGCGTCCAACCTCTTTGTCCGCTGCTCGTCCCTTCTGCAAGGCATCCATGTCGGATGGGCCGTCCTCACGGCCTGAAGGAACTCGAGGAAGTGGACGTCCTCCACCAAGCTGAATGGCTGGTTGGTGCATATCAGAAACCGGTCAAGGAACCGGTTGGTCCGCTCATTCATTGTGATCACACTGTCGGCTTCCTCGATCACAGTCTGCCTCAGCGGCCTCCCCGAACTTGGCTTCGACCCAAGAACGGTGTCGGCAGTGGACTGAGGTGTGGCCGTCTCGCCAGTGACGCCCGCACCACCGACCTGTGAGCTGGGAAACTGCGGTACCTGACTTGAGGCTGTCCGCATGTTGTTGGGACCGGCTACTCCTGCGGCTGTCGACATGTTGCTGGGCCCAGCTCCTCGAGCCTCGCACTGCAGCAACATGCGAGCAATGCACTTCGCCTCCGACATTCCAGCTTCCCTCCTTGCCCTCTCCTCCACTGACAACTGGACAATGACATTGTCAAGGGTGCACCTCTCCAAGAAGTGATCCCGGAGCCTTGTGGCAGTCCCGGCCAACCGCCAGTCGCAGTAGTTACACCTCCAGTACTTCGATCCCTTTTTCACATTCTTTCCCCGTGTCCCCTCAATCGTGAAATGTTTCTTGATCTCCTCCTGGAGGTGTTTGAGAGCCGATGACTTGGACATCCCCTGCACGACAACAGTAACAACCACGACGAAGTGGCAGACATAGCGTGGGAAAATCGCAATAAAAAAAAATATATATATATATATATATATCACGGGGTATGAAGGAGAGAGAGAGTGTGTGTGTGTGTGTGTGTGTGTGTGTGTGTGTGTGTGTGTGTGTGTGTGTGTGTGTGTGTGTGTGAGAGAGAGAGAGAGAGAG